TGATACCTCGCCAATTTCGACATTCTGACAGGTCACCCTTTTTTGGTATCTTTATTATGATGCCACTTTTCCAGCCTCTAAGTATACTTTCTGTGCTCCATATTGTGTTCAGGATTGGAAGCATAGTGTCGGCTATTGTATTAGCGCCCGCTTTCAGGAGTTCTGCTGGTATTCCATCGAGACCTTCTGCTTTGTTATTTTTCAGTTTTTGGATAGCATCAATTATTTCTCTTTTGCTTGGCGGGCCCCGATTTATTCTGTTGGTGTTGTCGCTGCTTTCTTGTGGACGCTGTTCTTGCTGATACTGCTGGTCGCCATTGTTGACCTCCCCGAAGTATTCCTGCCATCATAGACATAAGTGTTTTTAATCAGTGTCGAATTTTGATTTAACCATATCCGTCCGACTGATCGTCCATCCAACAATAACTTAAAAACTGACTGAACTATAGCCTGACTAGAGAACGATATTTAAATTGAATGTAATTAATGCAGTGGTTTGGGTAGCTATCCTAAAATTTGAAAATTTATTAGTAAAATATTGAATAGTTAAAGAATTTACGGTATTGAAATGCTCTTATATTTGATAAAACTAGTTGAAATTCCTTGACTTGTAGTGGTGGCTGCTATACAATTTCAAATGTCACTCAGTCCAATATTATGGAAATGATTAAAATTCAATTGGTTGAAATTTCGCATAAACGAATATGGTAATATTTCCTTTTTTTCTATGGTGATATGGCCAGGAACGATTTGCTTCATAAAATTTTTTTATTTTTCTGCTCTCGAGAGATTATACCACATTATAATTTCGTATTTTGTAAAATATGTATGTACATTTATACTGATTACGTTTACTGCTTAATATTTTGGTAATATTGTGTCCCAATTTGTAACATGATTCCTTTAGTCTGCATCACTTATATGTAAACATTTTAAAATCGATGTAAAGTAGATACATATATTTGTGTCGAAAAATTTTCCGTAATATTTAAGTAATAATTTTTTTTCATTTAATTTGTCAGCATTCATTAAGGAAATTTTATTTATTTCTATGACATTTGAATCAATGTAATATTTAATTTTTTTTTTGATTTTTTTGAAAATCAGCAATATTTGAAAAATTACAAAAATATTTTGAATTAGAAAATTGGGTAAAAAAATATTCCGATGGTGCCAAAATAATTTTCAAATCAAATAGGTTTGATTATGTGCCAATATTTTTATAATTGAACCAAAATAATAGAAATTGGAAATTTAAAAATGAAAAAAGAAAATTCTAATTAAAAATTTTATTATTTTTCTTTTTTTTTTGCACTTTTATCAGAAAATAAAAATGGTTTTAATTTTAATTTGGAAACGTTTTGGGAATTCTATTTTTTTTTCCTTTTTTTTTCAGAGATACTGACCTGTGAGATTTGAGTCTCTGTTCACAATGCCATAAAAATATGTTTCACAGTGTAATTAAAAAATTTTTTTACGAAAATTTTAATAAAATTTTATTATTAAATTTAATGTCAAAAATTGTCATGAATTCAACTTTAAAAAAAAAAAAATATTTGAATCTTAAATTACTTAAATTTTTCGGAAGAAATATGGGAAAATTTATTAGAAATATTTCCAATAATCTTACTAAATTTCTAAAAGCTAGCTAGTGTTAATTTAAATATGGAAATTGACAGCCTAATAAATTGCTACTAATTGTAAATGAATTTGTTTTAAAATTTGAGTTGAAGAACATGGAAATTTTAATTAATATTTTAATATTAAAGATGTAAGTTTAATGCGAGAATGATTATTCAATAAAAAAATATTATTATAGGGTGGTTTCTAATCATTCTACTCCTTTAACGATTTATTATTTTTCAATGAAAACAATTAAGAAACTTTAACAAAATATCCAAATATTTAGGAGAAACCTTTTATAATCAATACATATATATATTAATACATACATACAAAGATTTTCAAAATTATTATTAAAAAAGGAATAAAAATTTATGCATATACGTGTATACTCGTACGTATTTGATACAAAATTATGTACAATCATTAGGCAAAAAAATTCAATGTTGTAATGAAAAATTTTTCCGAAAAAATTTTCTTAATTATACTAATGAAAAATAGGGTAAAATTAGCTTTAATACTTATTGCCATTTCCTATACAAAGCGATTTTTTTTTGTATATACTGTATAATATATATGACCAATTTTGTATATATGTATGTATATATCGAATATATATATGTACGTATATACACGATAATATACGTTTATTCTTAATCGTAATGAACTAAATTAGAATGAAACTTTGCTTATTTCTTTTTCCATTTTCTCCGTTTATTTTCTATTTTTTTTTTATTCGTTGTTAAATTACTAATAAATTTATCATAGACAACATTGTGGAAATAACCATCAAAAATCATGTTTTACGGTCTTTGGAATGAGATCAGAAAATAATCATTTTGTTTTTAACTAATAATAAAATAGATACAATAAAGTCTTCTTATATTGAACAGATTTTTTTTTTTGGAATTTTGGAAGGGGATTAGGAGTTGTTTTTATTTAATTAAATACGATATTTAGAATTTTGATTTTTCAAAAATTTAATTGCATATATTACTAATTTTAAGTATTTTGTGATTTTAAGTATAATAATATGAACAGGACCAGAGTAATAAAGAAATTAAGTTTCTTATGGTGTAATGCCGCTCAGAGGACTGTGTAACATATTAAAATGCAGAACTATTTTATCTTATGGGACTGTAATTAACAATACACTAAAGAAGATTTTTTAACACAAAATTTTATTTCTAAAAATTGCAATAGTAAGATGCAAATTGAATTAGTAAGAAAACAATAGAAATTTTAATACAATAGATTTAAAAATCAGGTTGTAATTTCTTAAAAATAAATTAAAATTGAAAGAAATTTATTGAATACCTACTATTAAATATTAATACCTACCTATTATTAAGTAATTAATATTGTTGGCAAACGATAGTTCAAAATATCAACAAGACTATGTAGATGGTATTGTTAATATTATTAAATAATATGCAGATTTTTTAACTCGTTTAAAGTAATTCTTAAAAAAGTTATAGATTTTGCCTGATAAAAACCAAAATGTCATTAAAAACTCTTAGAATTTTTAAAAAATTAGTGACCGAAATTTGCTTTATTACGTTAAAATGTTGAAAATTGCATAAATATATATAAATTTATTCGAATTATAATATAACCAGCTTTGTGTATCTCATATTTTATATTAAAATCTTAATTATGGAGCATACAGAACCTATTCAATCACACATATCTGCAAAACATGATATTCAAATCAATTTAATTTAATATGGAGTTCATAATAACTAGAATCTACTTTTAGAATACAATATGTTTGTATTGTGTATGTACTATAAATTAATATTGAAAATAAAATATAAAAATAGTTAATTGAGAAAACATGTTTGTGGGTAAGGAAAATAACTTTTATATTTTAAGTTTTCTGTTTTAATTTTCTTTTTTTGTTCATTTTTGCTTGAGCTCTTTTTACACAATTTGGCAAATAACATATATAAATGATTGATGAGGAGATTTGGGAATTTTAACAAAATGATTCGTTCCTTTTTTTTCTCATTTTGTTTTTGTTTTTATTCTGCTATACTTTATTTTGGTATTCCTTGCTATAATTTCTACAACCACCACTACTACTGTGCTGTGTTATGTGTTAATATGAAATTTATGGGCTGGAGAATATTCATTATATAGACCCCCATTTACATTTTATATGTATATACATAAAATTATTTATACATAAAATTTTTCTGTATAAATATTACATAAAAGTTTTTTTTCGATTTACTTCAATTTTACTGTTTTGTTGTTCTTTTTTTTCTTTATAAGCTTAAAAGAATCGAATTAATTTTCTCTTTTTTCTTTCTCTTTCCAACTTAATTTTATTTTTTTTTCTTGCTTTTTTTGATTTTTGCTTTAAAATATTTTGCATGTATATGTACAAATGCATGTACGGGCTGATATTGTAGGTTATTACAAGTCGCCAAGTCTAGGGAAAATAATTTATCATTTGGTACGGATATCCTGTAAACCATCAGATTGAAAAATAAAGGACAGAACCGTAGAAAGAAAAAAAGAAAAAAAAAGGGGAACATATAGCCATCATTTTATGGAATGTAAAAAGTTCTCTAATCATCAATGAACAATATGAAAAGTTGTGGTCATAATATTCTTTAAGTAGGCTGTTTGTCTGTCTCTGTCCCCAAAAGGAAAAAGGATACAATGATTTTTTTTTTCCTTTTATAGTTTTATGATTTTTTTTTTGTGTCAATTCGTTTATGAATATTGTGTAATTAAAAATAAGAAAATAATTACTAACATAACAAAGTAATTGTTTAGATTACATACCAGACGATATTAAAAAAGTTGTATTAAGAAAACATTATTTTTCGGAAAGTTTCAATAATTAATTATTCCCTATTGAACTAAAGTCTATTCCTTAAGCGTAGGTTTTTAATTTAATGAGAGTCAAAGAAAAAATTATTGCTCGTAGGTTGTTTTATTAAAAGAAATTTATTTAAAATTTAGTAAAGTTTATTAAAGTTTCGAGCCTTAATATTAGAGTCTTATAATTTTATTTTATTGACTTATTTTAATAATTATTTCAGACTTTCTTAGTATCTATTATTATTCAGAGAAATAAAGTGAATTTCTAGTAATAGCTTTGTAATTGGCAGACAGTTTTTTATTAAACAGTGTTTTTGGGAAAACTTGTAACCTGAGTTTATGAAATTGTCCTGTTTTATAGTAATGAATGTAAAAACCAACATGTATTAAATATTATTGGTATTACCGTTTATTAGTAATTAGAATACAGTTGCAAATATAGTACAGCTTCGGTGTTATGACGTGTGAAGAAATATTTCCACAACAATCTTACATTTAATTTAAAGTTTTTAAATATATATCAAGGCATAAGACGTAGAGATATGGGCAAACGAATTTCTCCCCTTCGACTACCACAGTTAGCCATGGCTTATTGTAACCTTAACATATCCCGCTTACACTACACTGGTTTCAAGCAAATACCAGGAGATATCGCTCAGGGATTTAAATGTGAGTTCCTCAACACTGAGAAAGCCCCGCCAAGTCAACTGCGCCATCAGCACCTGAGTATTAAGACAAAATTTTCTGCACTTATTTTGTAACAAAAATGTGGGCTATAAAAAGAAAGAAGAAAAATCATAGTAAAATTAAACAAAACCAAAACATTATCCTTTGAATTTTCATAATTTTTCGTTCGGTTTTATTTTATTTATTAATTACCCTATTAGCAATTTTGTTTTCCTTTCATTTCCAAGACTACATGTAATATTTTAATATGTCATAAATCATTAATGGTGAATAATGAAAATTGTAATTAGCGAATTGTATAGTTTAAAATTTATTTTGTCAAAAATTTCGAAAAAGTATTAAAGAAATAATCGAAAGACGATGAAAATTTAAAAGTGTTGAGTGAAAAAATGAGGATATTAAAATTGAATTTTGATGAAGAAAAATTCAGACTTACATTTTGTTAATATAAAATGGTTCCCCTTGAAATTATGAAATATTTTATTTTGTGCGAGAAAATCATGAAAAATATTCCAATTCCTATTATATGAGCTTACTGAAAATGTTTGTCGTTTCCGATTTTTTTTTAAATTCCTATTTTTCTTCACAAATTGATCAATTTATTCATTAAATTTAAATGAAAACTGCAAGAAATTTCCTTTCCTAGTTGAATATACAAAATCTCTATATTATAAGTAAATAAAATATAAAGAATTTAATAAAATAATTATCAACATCTTTGTTGGTTTAAATAATATTATCGTAAATTATAAATTCATATATGACATACTTCATTACAACCAAAGAAATTATTATGATTTTTGTATGAGAGAACGAACCAACAGGAGAATTCTCTTGTGAATAATAATAATTAATCTTTTTGTTTTCAAAATTCATTGATGTCGTTTTATATCTGTTATATTATTTACATAATATTATAATATATTCTTATAATATATAAATAATATTATATTTAACCTCAATATAGATATTATATTTTATAATTGAATATAAAAATAATATATAAATTGAACATTCCTTAAACAATATATTTAATATATTATATTATTAATAATGAGCTACATATATGAAATAATCAAGTATATACGAATGTACTTGTATACATAATAAATAATATAATAAACAAAATAGTATTATATTCATAATATTTTTATATCCTTGAATAATAAATTAAAAATTTAAACATAAAAAAACAAAAGGCAGAAAAATTACTGCACAAAAAAAAAGCAAAAATTACAATAATAAGAATAAATGATTATTATTACTGTTATATTATCGTTGCTTATATACACAAATAAAAGGAAAATAATATAATTAAATGGGATTTTAAAGTATCCTTGAAATTATTTTACAATTACAAAAAAAAAGAAGCAAAATATCAAAAAAAAAATTATTTATAAATTTTTAATTATTTAAAATCTGACTATATTTTAGCTGTTATACACTCTTATAACAAATTCGAATCAAGCCAATTAATATTGATATAGGGCAGCACATTTTCCTTAAACTAGTAAAATTTTAAAAATCTTGAATATAGGTACTTGCATTACTCTCTAATATCATACTATGTATTCAAATAGCATAAATTTAGGAGAGAAAGAGAAAGAGAATAGAAATAATATCTAATTTAAGTCCAAACAAAATAAATATTTTCGAAAATAAATTTTCCGGTCCTCCAGATAAGTGTAGAAATTTCATACGATGCAAAAAACATAAATGATAAACAGATGGAGAGTCAGCCAAATTGAAACTTATAAGCATATTCTTTTTTTCAAAAATTTGTTGTAGATGTGCTAAAATTATATATGTTTGTGTGTGTCAATGAAAGTTTTGTTTAATTTTCAAAAAATATTTTAAATATTTACATAGATTTTTGACAATTTTTTTTAATACAGTGCCACTATAGAAAAATATAATTATTGTGATATGCAAAAAAAAAAAACAAAAATTACCAATTAAAATAATCGAATAAAACATTGAAAATTTTTGTTTGAAGTTCAAATTTTGTGTTAATAATATAAAATGTAGATTTTTATATATAGTTATAAATTTACAATAAACTTATAAACTAAAGCATTTTAGTTCCACAGAAAAAAAGGAGAATTAAAGTAAAATAGAGTTGATCATGTCAACTCTGTAACACCCGTAGTAACTTGTTATCCTATGGGCGAACAAATATGCTCTACAGAACATTTAAGTTGTGCTCAACTATTGCATTCAACTGAAATTTGAAAATTTACTCGGAAAATAAGGAAAATAAATCACAGATAGGGGATTTTTTAACACATTTTTATAATAATGTCACATAACCATATTAACTACTGTAATTTCAATAGATTCTAAGTTATAACTAAAGAACTGTTGTGTGATAGCTACCACAAGGAATCAAAAAATTTCAACAACTTGAATATTATAACTTCAATCATTTTTAAAATATAGCAAAATGACTTTCGAAGTTGTAGGGTAGCTACCCGAACCACTGATTCGAGCTGAATTAGTTTATGAGTTATCATTCAGACCGACGGACGGAAAGACGAACGAAAAGACGGATAGATATGGTTAAATCGACTCAGAATTTGATGTTGATCGAAAACATATACTTATATGTATATTTCAAACTATTATTATTGATTTTTTCAGTTTTGTTTTAATTATGAAATTGCTGTGAATTAAACAACAGTTTGTTGAGAAAATTTGCTTAGATTTGCTTACTATTTCATTAAAGACTATTGTTGCAGTTGATGATTTTCTTTAAATTATTTATTTACATTATAAAATTCTAGAATATAAAATTTTCAAAAATAATTTCATATTACATAAAAATATTTTTTAATATAAGTACTTGAATTTTCTTTAATATGCAGAAATTTATAATAGTTTTGTATTTTTAATATTTTAATATTATTATAGGACTGATAGAAAAACCATATTTTGATGATGTTAGTCCAAGAAGTGTTACCACCATAGTCGATGATGCAGCCATTTTAAAATGTAAAGTTAAAAATAAAGGAAATCGGACGGTAAGTAAAAAATTATCAGATTTTAAAATTTTCTTAAAATAATTATAATTAGTTTTAAAAATAATCTATGATGGTCTTCTATAGGGCTAAAATCCTTATAGTTTGAAATCTGTAGGAGAATTTGTGATTAACATGAAATTTTATTGAAAAATATTTTTTTTCTTAACCAACTATAGAAGATATTTTATTTAACAATATCATAAAATATGTGTGTATTTTTTAATAAAATTCATAATAACAATGTTATTAATAATTCAGGATAAAAGGATCAAATAGAATATTTACAGTATTCAATGATTTGAAATATGAATTTTTTTGGATATTTTTTAATTTATTATACGCGTATTATTAAAAAAATACAACATACTCTCACATGTACGCCATAATTTTTCTCTATAAATGAAAATATTTTCAATTTAGATTTTATTTATTATAACCCTGTTATTAAGATTACTATAAAATAATTCCAAAAATATTGAACTAATTTTGTATATTTAATTTTGTAAAATTTTATATAATTTACAAGGAAAAAATAAAATTGGATTTATATTTAGAACACTCTTCCTATTAACATAACAAAATCTATATTGATTTGAATCTATAAAAAAAATCAGGAAAATAAACAGGATATTCGTGTATGTATTATAGTCCATCTATACAACTAGATATACATTTTTTTTTACTATAAAAATATATGGAAAAAAAGTTAATCTCAATTGGAAATTTGAATAATCATTAAATATCCTTAAATTTATTACTTAAATTTATATTATAATAATATGTATGTGTGTATAGATTGAGGGATAATATCATATCCTCATAAAAAAAAAATCAATCTCATAAAATTATAATATGGTGCCTTTTCTACTTTACGTAAATTTTGTATTTGGTATTTCGTTGTTCCTCGAAAAATTTTCTTTATTTCATATTGTATGTATGTATTTGTTTTGTATATACAAAACTTTCTCATTCTGATTAAACCACTTCAACGATATCTCCTTTATTTATATAACATTATTGATTCACTCTTTTCCAAAATTGATTCGTACTTAATCTTATTCGTATATTATGTAGCACAGTATAAAACTATTAAAAAATGTGTCGAGATAAAAAGGAAAAAAAAAACAAAAATTAAATCAAATAGAGTCCTGGAAATACTTTCATAAAACAGAAAAAAAAAAATTAAGGTTTTCTTTTTTGTAAAATATTCCTGTCCTGTAGCGTTTTCTATTTTTAAGTTAAATTCGAAATAAAAAATCAAGTTAAACCTTTACTATATTAAGGTAAACATAATATTTAACAGGCACTAATAATGAATCACTTGAAACTGGTAGGGTTTCAAGTTTAGTTAAAATATTTTGTTGTGTACCTTTGCCTCATTAATGTTCCTAAGAAATCCTTTATATAAATTTTATTTCTTGCAATTTGCAGAGCATAATTTTGTCACTCGCAGAGACATTATCATTTTTGCCAGCACTCAATCGAATCTATCTATGTAATCGATCGATTTTCAACAAATTCGTTTCGAATATAAATTGCTAGATTTACCTAATATCCCCGAAATGTTTGGTATATAAGGCCAAAAATAAAAATATTCTCTAATTTTACAAGATTTTAATTTAATAATGTTCCTATGAAATTCAGCATTTTATTTAGTGTCGACACATTTTAAATTTAGCACAGTTATAAACGAAATAAAAATGAGTTTAAACACATGCTCAATATTGAGTTAATATTTTTTTATTTTGTATTCCAAATAAACATAAGAGATTTTATTATGTTTTTTTTTTCTTTCCTTTTTCTTTCTCTCTTTCTAATGGTATAGTTATAGAAAGCTTGAACCAATATTCTAAGGTGCTTATTAAAACAAATTTTAACATTTATTGACCCAATTTCAAAATTTATGGGATTTTCTTCTTCCTAGATAAATATCCTGGAGTCATTTGGATTAAGGACAAAAGTACAATAGCAATATAAGGTTTACAGGAAAGAAAAAAAGTAAAAAAAAAAATAAACAAAAATAAAAACCCTTTTTGTTTTTATAAGTGTATTCTATCATTTTGAGTACATTGAAGCATCTGAATCCTACGTATTTGCGTGTAATTTTGATGTCCATATGTAAATTGTAAATGTTTGCGTAAATATATACAAACTATTTTACAAATATTATAATGTGAGTACTTAAACAAATACTCACATCTTTACTAAGTTCCCATGAAACGTTTTTTGTCATCTAGTATTGAATAAATGGCAGAGTTGAACGGAATGATTATGAGATGCGGATGTTTTAGACAAAGGGAGTGGAATGTTGTTGAAATGTTAAGCTTTCATGCGTTGACAATAAATTCTGAGAGGTAAGGTTGCACTTTCACCTCTAAATTAGAATATAAAATAATTGAATTCTACGCAAATTGAAATTGTTTATATTAGTACATATATACTTTCGTCAAATTTGAGATGACGGTTTGGAGTTGGAGTAAAAAACACAAAGAACAAATTAAAAAGGACCAATCAATCAGATGAAGAAGTTAAAATCAATTAATCAGAATTAAAGAGTCTAAGTGAAAAAGTCATAATCAAAGAGTCAGAAATATTTCTTGACTGTTTCTGTTGGATTCTGTAAAGTATTTAAAACAATTTTTAAATAAAACTCATAAGCATAGAGATAATTTCAACCAAATACTTACAGGTTTTGAAATTTAGAATTAAGCGCAAAATTTTAGAATCCTTTCCGTGGTATCATAACAAATTAATGATACACACTACAGTTACATGTGTATCATTATTTTGTTCTGATACTGCTACACATTTGTAAATGGTATACACACAACAAATATATTTAAAATTTATGTATAATAACAAGTATTCATGTATGTACATATGTATAAAAAATAAAAAAGTTGGGTCAAACCAATGATTTGTATTGTAGCACTTTTCCCTTCAACAAGTGAAAATTCTGCTTTTAAATACAGTCTATGTATAGCTATCACACTATTAAAATTATTTTCATTAATATACAAAACTATTTCTAGGACTGCATATATTTAGGATGACACATATATGCAGTCTTTGAAATAAAGCAAAAATTAATATAAAAAGGGGTTAACATAATGCTCGATTTTAAGGGTTAATTGTGTGAGTTAAGAAAAATAATTATATTTTTTAATTTCATGGAATTTACCGTTAGCTTTTTGCGTTTACAAAAATTTGGAAAAGTTTGCGGTTTCGGAAATATAAGGTGTCAAAAATTCAAATTTTACGAATTTCAAGAGGTGATATCTTGAGAGGGGGTGGAGATGGAAAAAAATTTTTTTCTAACGAAATGAACTATTTGTTAATGTCTAAAAGCTCCTAAAATTTCAAGCTTCTACAGTCTGGGGTCTAGAAGAAAAATGACATCAAAAATTTGGAAAAAAAGAACTTTAAATAACGGTAAATTTGAACGGCCATTTTGTTTTTCTTAAGTTGAACTATAGTATACCGCGCAAGGGGAAGCAAGCCACTGCCTTTCTGAGTTTGCAAAATTTCAAAAATGCTTATGGTTTCATTGCAACAAATATTTAAAAAAGGCCATTTTTAGGGTTTTGGGGGGGTATAACTTCTAGAGGGGGGGAGATAGTTGAAAATTTTGTTCTACGAAAATAAGTTTCTAGTGAAGATCTATGTACGTATTAAATTTCAGCTTTCTATCTTCAAAGGTGTAGAAGTTTTGTAAACAGACACACGGACAGACGGACGGACGGACGGACGGACGGTCGGACGGACGGACGGACGGACGGACGGACGGACGGACGGACGGACGGACGGACGGACGGACGGACGGACGGACGGACGGACGGACGGACAGAGTGAAACTAATAAGCACTTTTTTCAAAAAATTTTTTGGAAAAGTTCTAAAAAGAGGTGTTTATTCAGAACATTGTACAATATATTTTTATGGATACTAAAAATTGATTGGAAAAATTAGCCTTGATCCAATGAAAAGGGATTTTAAATAAAACAAAAAAAAAACAAAATGAAAAACAAAAACTAATCGAGAAAGAAAAAGAAAATAGCCTTCTTTAATTTCAAATTGTCAATAGTGTGGTTGACTGGATAAATAAAGTAATTTTTTAACATTGCGTACCTACAAACAATCTCACATGGAATGAATGTGAATATTCGTATTGATGAGCTCATATCATGTTGTGAATAAATAACGTGAAATGCATTATAGTTTTAGAGGATATCAAGGTAAATTAAGAATAATCCTTTTAATTTCACTGATATTATCGGAAAATGGAGAAAAATTGTGTTAGCACATTTTCAAAAGAAATTTTGTACATTAATAATATTATGTATAGTTAGACAAAGATCATTTAGCTAGTAATTAATATTACGTCTTAAATTTGAAAATTTTCAAATGGTTATTGTAGTTCATTGTGACAATAAATTTTTGCCAGAAAAAATTTACAACTTAAAGTTTGCTTCCCTTCATTAATATTGTTTTTATTTAGTTTTAGTCTTCTACTTTATTTCACTAAGTGTCATTTTAACAATAAAACAAAACTAAATTGTATTTGTTTATGTTCAATCTACATACTCATGTACATATATTGCACAATTTCTTTTTCTAATTTAGATCATATTTTTTTTTTTGTGGTACACACAATTTATAATTGAATGTGAAATATTCATATTTAGTTAGAATACATTTTAGAAATTGAACTTATTCATGTATAAACAGTTATGCAAACTAAAGTATTCAACCACAAATAAATTTGAATAGGTACAAGGTTGACAATATTATCATGAATAATGTTATACCACATAGGAGGGATATCATAATAAAAACTGATGATTTTACATTATCAACGTATGTATTTATTTTTATTGCACATAAAATTGTTTTGGGTTTATGTATGAAAGCGTTATAAATTTTTTATTTTGGGTATTATAAATTTATTCAAATTAGTTTTTACGTTAAGAATACGACAATTGATAGAAATTTTTGGAAGCAAATTCACGAAATTCTCTTACATTATTATTTGAAATATTGAATTCGAAATCAGTGGATGATAGAGTGGAACGTAAAGAATTTCTTTGAAAATTCTAGTCAATTCAATCCTGTAATAGTTATATCACGCGTAATAATAAGTAAAAACGTTTCAGTCGATCTACATGAATTATATCCTGCAACTTGTCTGCAAAGTTGGTTTTTAAAATATTTACAATATTAGCTTTCATAGTTGTATAGAAGTTACTCGATTCTTTCCAAAAATTATATAAAAACTTCGGGAATATGTCTGATCTATAATTGGGAAAACGATAGCAAAGTTTCATGAATTTGACTTTATTCTTTTTCTGAATATTTAAAATTAATTTTTGAAGTTGTACAGCAGCTATCTGAACCTATCAAACCATTTCACAAACAATTTTAAGAATATAATATTTGCTCTGTGATTCGACACACAATTTCCCAATTTCATACATATAGATATTAGCTTTTAAGGTTGTGTGGTAGATAACCGAATCCGTTGGCAAAATTGGTACAATTACAAAAAGGGTCCGTTTTTGGGAGAAAAGTAGCACTTTTAGTGGTGTTTGCGTTGTTCGTTTTTGAGTGTCTTAACCAATGAAGAATTTTACATTGAGCAAAAATATTATATATACATCATGTATAAAACATGCTTATACCGCAGAAGACTGCTTCAATAAACTCCATACCACAATTAATATACCTTTCATTGGGACATTGCCAAGTCATGTTCCTACTGATCTTCTTCAAATTTAGATTCTCATAATACTCTCGAATTTTTTGATATCTCAAATTTAGTTAAAAATTTTTTCATACTTAATATTAGAATTTCAACTATTTTTTAATTTTTCCTCTTTTAAAATCTCTAGAGTATAAATTATTATTATGATTATTATTATTACGCTTTGATAAATATGAGATTCAACATGAAGTAAATTTTCTATACAAAAATATAGAAAATTTCAAAAAAAAAAAAATCGCTTGAACAATTTTTTAAAAAGTAAACAACAAAATATCTTTGAATTCACGTTATTAAAATGAAATTTTTGAAATTTTAACATGAAAAATTATTTTGCAAAAAAATTATATAGAAAATTCAAGTTTAATTATTGCTTAAAAACTAAATATTTCATTATTATTATCTTGTAAAATTATTATAAAGGTCAAAATAATGTTATAGTTAAAAAATTTTTTGAAAATTGAACCTTCATACGATAAAAAAAATACATTGACATTGAAATTATCATTTTAGTCATTTCAATTCAGTCACATGAAATTTGGAGAATTCGAGAACTTTTAATAATTTCCCTATAAAAGGACGCAAGGAGGTATTATTTGTTGAGCTATTTATCGAATATAGAATTCGTATTGAAAGTGTGCTTGTTTTATGCTGCTTATAAAATTTTAGTTACTTCTTTGAATACTTTAGATAATATGTAAATTATTGCTATAGTTGTGTTCCTGGGCCATTTAAAAAGTCTTCAGTATCTGTTGAAGCTTTTCTGATTCAAACACGTGTTCAGAATTTGCTGTTAAAACTTTTCGCCAAAAAAAATCCATTTAAAAGGTATCAGTTTGAACCGAGTTTTAGAGATCTTTAACTCTAATTTTTCAAATTCACCCTCTTTTTCCTCAAAAGAAAAGTAGATACGTTCCACCTTGCCCATTCTTTTGCCACGATAAGAAAATTTAAACAACAACCAATTATTGTAGTCAAATTCAAATGTCCTTTGGTCCAGAATTCTAACAGAATTTTTTATTAGATTTCTGATTTGGTCCGGATTTCTAACAATATTCTAACAGAATTGGAAAACATAATGATATGTTGCGAACAAAATTAAACAACGGAAAATGAAGTATCACCAGTTCTTTCTGAAATTAAATTTTGTTAAAAATATTTAGTACCGTTCCATTGAATCTTAACATCTCTAATTTGGATAAAATAACGTTCAATGTCCTTTTTTATACCAATTTATTTTCAATTATATAACAGATCCTTTGAAAAATTTTAACCATTTATAATTGATCAATTATAACCAATCCTATTATATAATAATCCCTTTTTATTCACAAAATTTCCTTGGGTCAGCTGGAGAGTTAAAATATTATTAAGTTAATTAGGAATATATGATTTACTCCACCTGAACATATGCAATATAATAATATTAGATCTTAAATATAAAAACAAATTAAAAGAAATTCTCTGTTGGACCCAAACTTTTTTTTTAACAAAAATATCGAAAAATATTTTATTCAAAGTCTAATTCGTATTGGTTAGGGATAGGTTAATTTCAATAACAAGGAAATTATTATTGTATATGTATTTTTTTTGTTGTTTTACTAAATTCTATTCGAATTATTTGATTACACCTATTTTCCTGCATACATAATACATTTTAAGGATGAAAACAGAAAACATAGCTAGTTGGTATATAAAAAAATTCATTCATATATAAATATTTATAAAAAAAAAAAAAAAAATTTGTAGATTAGAAAATTATCCTCTAGGCTCAAAAGCCTAAAATTCAATAGGAAAAAAAAATAAAGTTAGGTCAAACCAATGGTTTGTATTGTAGCACTTTTCCCTTCAACAAGTGAAAATTCTGCTTTTAAATACAGTCTATGTATACCTATCACACTATAAAAATTATTTTCATTCATATACAAAACTATTACTAGGATTGCATATATTTAGGATGACGCATATATGCAGTCTTTGAAATAAAGCAAAAATTAACATAAAAAGGGGTTAACATTATGCTCGATTTTAAGGGTTAATTGTGTGAGTTAAGAAAAATAATTATATTTTTTAGTGTCACGAAATTTACCGTTAGCTTTTTGCGTTTATAAAAATTTGGAAAAGCTTGCGGTTTCGGAAATATAGGGTGTCAAAAATTCAAATTTTACGATTTTCAAGAGGTGATAACTTGAGAGGGGGTGGAGATGGAAAAAAAATTTCTTCTAACGAAATGAACTATTTGTTAATGTCTAAAAGCCCCTAAAATTTCAAAGTTCTAGAATATAGGATCTAAAAGAAAAACGACATCAAAAATTTGGAAAAAAAGGACTTTAGATAACGGTAAATTTCAACGGCCATTTTGTTTTTCTAAAGTTTAACTATAGTATACCGCGCTAGGGGAAGCAAGCCGCTGCCTTTCTGCGTTTGCAAAATTTCAAAAATACTTATGGTTTCATTGCAACAAATATTTAAAAAAGGCCATTTTTAGGGTTTTGGGGGGGTATAACTTCTAGAGGGGAGGAGATAGGTAAAAATTTTGTTCTACGGAAACAAGTTTCTAGTGAAGATTTATGTACGTATTAAATTTCAGCTTTTTATCTTCAAAGATGTAGAAGTTTTGTAAACAGACACACGGACAGACGGACGGACGGACGGACGGACGGACGGACGGACGGACGGACGGACGGACGGACGGACGGACAGAGTGAAACTAATAAGCACTTTTTTCAAAAAAATTTTTGGAAAAGTGCTAAAAAGGGGAAAAAAGGCGAAAAAATTCTATCTATTGTAAATAATTTATGAAATTTTTCAAAAATTTATATTTTCTATGCTAGACCTAGGTAATTTTTGTTTTCTTTTTTTATTTTCATTTTTAGTTTTTTGCTTACATATACAGGATATGGCAATATTTTTCTTCTATATAAGCAAGAAAAAATATGAAATTTTGTGCACACATGTTGTGCATGACCCGATAATATTATTCAAGTGGGATAATTATTATTATCAAACCTAGACGAACAAAAAATAATATAGGGGATCCTTTTTGTTTTTCACATTTTCTTCAGAATTATTGGTTCCACAAAATTTCTTTCAGAACTGAATCTTTTTATTATGCGTTTATTTATAACTCTAGAATTGTGAGTTAACTCTTTATTTATAAATTCTCATGCGGGTGACATTCGGGTAAGATTTTTAATATTTATGCTGAAACTGTAGTTAATTCTGAATGCTACAATTTTAAAAAGGCAGCCATAATATGAAATATAATAAAACTACGTAGCGAAATTTAGATTAAGCTTAAAACCTAAAAGTAAGGAATAATTTGAGAAACACAAACTCTGCAATCAAATATTTCAAAGGCAAGGGTTGTAAGAGAAAAATATCCCCTATTATTTTTTGTGAATATGTGGGTCCATTTCATCATTTTACTCTCGCATATATCATTGAATTTTAGACACCCTGTTATTTTATATATCTACTTTTAATTTATGATTTTTTTTCTTTTTTGTATATCTAAATATATTTTATTATATTTATAAATATTATATATACATATGTATATATTACGTAGGTATCTTGGATGAGAAAACATGATCTGCATATATTAACAACAAACATTTATACATATACTGGTGACCAAAGATTTTCTGTATTACATATACCAGATAGTGATGATTGGGATTTAAAAATTGAATATGCCCAACAGCGTGATAGCGGTATATATGAATGCCAAGTAAATACAGAACCAAAAATCAATTTAGCTGTATCACTTGATGTTTCAGGTAAGTGTTAAATTTGGTATTTTTTTTTTTGTGGGGGTTTTTAGAATTTTTTTTTTTCCCATATAGAATTTTTTCTATTAAATTTATAATCTTCTTGTTTTTGCCATCATATAAAAAATTGTGTTATAATATAAGGCATACATATAACATATTTTCATATTATATACGGTCATATCTGAATAAAAAAGAAACTTGTGGAAAATAGAAAAAGTATAGAAATACTAGCAAATTTAGTTCAAAATCATATAGATTTACCCCTATTGTATATGAACATAATTATATTTATGGGCATATTTTGGCCATACCTATAGTTAATTTTGTATAATATGAACAAGTATTCTCAATATTATTTTTGTTATCCATGGACATGTTAATTTGACATAAATTTTTTTTATTTATTTTTGCCTAATCATATAATTGATTTCATTATTGTTGTGGCTATACTCGTAGTATTCAGAAAATATTTATTATGATATCAATGTTGGATAACAAAAATATTATCAAAGGATATTATAGCTTATTATGATTATTATTATAAAATATAAGTATGTGTGTATGTATGTTAAATATTTTATACATATTTAAATTTATTGATTAGTTTATTATATAGAGAGTATTTATTGAATACATGGGAACATTTATTATGTAAATATTTCTCATCACTTTAAAAAAAATATTTTGTATTAAATTCATTATAGATATCTTTAAAGGAAATTGAAGATATTTTGACAAAAAATAGAATTAATTTGGTGCATAATAATTGAACTCTTAAATTTTTGGGCAAATTTTAAATGGCTATTATAATTATTGCAAATCATATCGTATATAATAGACTGATTTTATATCGTAATTTTTATAGTTTTGATAATTCAGAATTATAAAGGCTCTATTAGTACACAATAATTAATAACAGTTACTCCTCAGCTCATGTTAATGCTGAATTAAGCTTAAGAAAAATTTATTTGAAGTAACCAAGAAATTCTATCTCCTGAAATAATATTTGTCACAAAAAAACAAAAAGGGCTTATGAAATCTATAATATATTCTTTTCTAAAAAAAAAATTAAAATTTGCTATAAGTTGTAATTCTTTTGTTTCTTTTTTAATAATTTCAGCTGCTCGAGCTAAAATTCTTGGTACTACTGAAGTTTTCGTAAAACGAGATAGTACGATTTCCTTAGCATGTGCTGTAAATGTTCATGCTTCATCTATATTATGGTAAATATACATACTTATTTTATTTTATGGTAAATATACAAACATTATTTTATATTGCATAATTTCGAAGCTGTTATATAATATTATAAAAATATTATTCTTTATTACAAAATATTATTATATATAGGTATCATGGCAATAAAATAGTAAGTTTACATTCGACTCGTGGTGGTATTAATTTAGAAACAGAAAAAACTGAAACTGGAACAACAAGTAGATTAATGTTAACACGTGCAACATTTAAAGATTCTGGAAATTATACATGTGTACCAACTGCTGCTGTTCCAGCATCTGTACAAGTACATGTACTTAATGGTAATTATAATTATAATTTTTATAATATTTTTTTTTATACCTATTGGAATTTTGTAGAGTTTAATAATTATTTTATATATAAAGTTTATTATTCAATAACTTTAATAAATATTAAAATTTTCATACATAATAATTAAATTAATCAAATTAATAAGATTTACCAGTTGAACTCGATAGAACATATCTATAATATGCATTTATAGTGATTGTTAATTTTTGAAACATTTTCTAAGAAGTTGCCAAATAATTTCTTAAGAAAATTATTTTGCAGATCTTGTATTTTTAAGGAATTTTGTGATATGTTTTGAATTCAAACCACAAGTTGCAAAATCTTGGTCAATTACAAAATCAAATACAAATAATATTGCTCTAATTTATTTTAATTCCATTGTTTTTGCGGTTTTCTCAATAAATTAATTTTATCATTGTGTGCACTTTAAGATTACATCCAAATTTAGAAACAATTTTTGTTCAATGTACGCATTATGCCTCTTCTATATATATAATAAATTCATAAATAACTAAAAATATTTTGTAATTTATTGAATTTAAATTAAAATTTCACTTGCATTTTAATAAAACTTTTTACTCAAGTTTCTTACTGCAATAATAAATAACAATGTAAAATCAAAGTGCAAGCAATTTAATATTATGGTAAGGAATTTATTTCAATAAAATTCAGATCAAAAAAATTATAATAAAACAAAAAAAAAACAATATTATTAAAATTTTACAAATATTAAAATTGTTTACAAAATGTTTTTTTTTTTGAAATTTCATTAATTTTCAATATTATTCTTCTACTCACACAATATTTGAATACAAAATTATTTAGTCATCCTACACAAATTTGTAAAAAATAAAATTTATTTTAATTTAAATTGGAAAAAAATTTATTAAAGCAAAAAACAAAAAATTTAGTGAATTTATCCTATGAGAATTATAATAGATGTGGGGATAAGGAATTTATAAAATAAAAAAAAAGGATGCAAAACAGGTTAAAAAAGTCAATAAAAATTAAATAAGACTCCGAATTCTTCATACTTATAAATGAATAATATAAATATTTATAATATCAATATTAAAAGTAAATAGAAAAAAAAAATTGTATATTTTATCACATTATAATAATTTTTATGTAAATAGTAAAATACAGGGTGATTCTGAAAAATATACAACAATATATATCGTTAATTAGAAGGTCAAAAATGGGTAAATGGAATTTCCATTAAATAATCCGGTAATTATACTAATTCAAGTTGTTATTACCTATAAGTTCCGTTCAAAAATGGATAGTGAACAAACAGTTTTAAAAAGGCGTTGTAAGAAGCCTAAAATCAACGTGTTAGTTGATTTTTTATTTAATGTACTTTCGGAATACCAAGCATTCGAATTTAAGGAAAAATCAAATTTTTCCCATTTTTTACTTTGTTTTAGTTTCTAATAACACTATCATTTCGTACGAAATTTTTTGAAACTTTGAAATTTTTATACGTAATTTTGACCAGCTGCTTTAGCTTTAATTTGAATACTCAAACGTTAAAAAACTTTTTATGGTACAGGAGATATAACAAGGAATTCATTGCTATGTCAAAATATTAAAAACCGTAATTAAATGTAAAAAATCAAAAAAAAATTTCATTAATTTTTATTTTTAGATCGCAATAATCTCTTTAAAACCTCTAACCAATCGTATATTTTGTTGCATACTCTTTCAGAATCATCCTATATACATAATGTGAATATCAATGTAAACAACTCATGTAAATACTGAAAAAATTTTGCAATGATTTATTAACCAATGCAATTCATGTGTTATTAATGTATACATACTTGTATACTTTAATTAAATAAAATTTTTTTAATAAATTTATTACAAATTGCTTCTATTGTTATAACAATAAAAATAACAATCATAATAAAACTTTCAATCAATTTTATCACTTTTTATTTATATTATAATTAATTGATGATCAATAATTGTGACTTATTTATAATGTTAAAATTTATTTTTACCTCCTCAAATGATATTTTATTCTATTTTTTCTGTTCTTTCTTATAATTATATTATTTTTGACATAACAAATTATAACAAATGTTATTAAATTGATTTTAAACATTAAATCTGAAAAAAGGACATAAGTTAACTAATTTTTATTTCGTTAAATTTTAGGAAATGTTTAGAAGTAAATTAAAATTTCTTTAATAAAATTGCCGTTTTATTAAAATTAATTTATTCTAAATAATTTATAAGTCCAAAATTCAATGATTTTAGCTAATGCAATTACGCTTTTACGAATATTGTATTTTAGGAAATATAAAAATAAATAAAGCATGCCCCTAAAAATATGCAATTTTTATTAAAAAATTTTATAACTGATAAAATTAAGTGTTTTTCCAATATTTATAAGAAATTTTTTAAATTTTGAATTTTTGGGTTGATTAACTGTAAGATTTAAATAAATTATAACAGCTATCGGGTGCAAATTTTATATTAATTGAGCTTAATTAATTTTAAGTAAATAAAATGAGCAATAAAATCGTGTGACTTTTATTTCAGAAAATCTTGTATTTAAAATTATCAAATAAATATTATATAAATTAAATAATTAATTGTTAATAAATTTGTTTTATAAGCAGCAGTACAATCTGAAATTTCAAAACAACTGAATAATTTTTTAACTATAGCTAAATTTATAATACGTTATTCAAAGCTTGTTAAAAATTATTCTTAATCTTTATCAATTTATTATTATCTTTAATAAATTAATAATATTAAATTCTTTTATTTAAATTTAAAATAAAATTTTCAATATTATTATTTCTATTTATAAAATAGCTGAACATCCAGCTGCTATGCAAACAAGTTGTGGTATACCATTATCATCTTTATCCTCATTAGCGTATATAATAATAATTTTATCAATGTTAGCATGTCAACAGCTGATCATATCACAGACAGCGTCCGTTATTATGGATTTCATATATGATAGATACAATAGATGATAATGTCACATATATGACAAAATGAACAAAACAAACAAAACAAAACTGATATGAAATATAAAAAAATGTATAAATAAATTCATAAGGATAATAAATTATATCTGTATGTTCTTGATATTATTGTATAAATATATTATATAAATTTAAAATATATTATTCAAAATTATTTCAAACTCACTTCATTTTTTTTTATTACTTATTTTATAATTAATTTAAAATATATGTTTGTATATGACATTAATAAATGTATAAAAAATAATATAGAAGATTTTTAAGAAAACTAAAAAAATATTATAAAATCAAAAAACAAAAAAAATTAAATTTAAAAAAATTTTATGTGTTTATACACATGTAACTTATTATAACTATAGTATTTATAAAAAGAAAATGTTACATAATATATGGATGTATTTATAAAATTATAAAAATATATTGAATAGGTTAAAAAGTTTAATATGAAAATTACTATAAAATTATAAGAAGGCTAGGAATAATTTTGAAAATAATTTGTACATTAAAATTTATTTTTATTTCACCAAAATATTTTCAAATTTTACGAAAATGATAATATAATTAAAGAAATAAAATAGTTGTTGAGCTCGTTCATAATTTTAATTTGAGTTCATAGTCAATGTGCACTGCCGTGGTTAATATAAGGCCACCGTGTAAAGAGAGAGAAAGTCTCATAATTTTTGTGGTCAGTATTTTAATTTTGAAAACATTTTTTAAATAAAAATATTTTGAACTTCTATAAAAACTAAATTTGTATTAGATATTTAAAATTCTGTGTAATATGGAAAGGGATGAAAGGGATTATTTAAGAAATGTTACAATATGGATTTGTATTATTAAATGCTGAGTTAGTTATTTAATTGAAAATTAGCTCATAAAATTTAATTTTAAAAATTTTAAAATACAAAATAATTTTTATTTAACAAAATTTATTATTTCACTCTTTTGTACCTTTTCTCAATTTTAAAACTTTCTTACTAGTCTTAGTTAATTTTTGTCTTATTTTCAACTTTAATTTATTAAAAATAGGTAAGGTATCCATTATAAATAGAACATTAAGAAATGTTTATGTTCTGTTTACTTTTTTTGGTTTTACTATCTTAATATATTTCATTTTATTTAATAACGACAAATCTTATTCTTCTTCAATATTAACACTTCAATTGACAGATAACATGTAATGATTTTGGCATATGATTTTGTATGGGAATACCAAAAACATATTTTTAAATTTTAATTTTATTTTATGCTTCTTTATCATTACAGATTTTTTACAATTCTAAGAACTAATATCAAAATTAATTTTTTAAAAAAATTGCATACCCTCCGGCGATAATTCCTTTTCTGACCATTTATTAGATATTTTAAAAAGGTTTGACAAAAAAATGAAAATATCGATTATTTATGTCAATTTATTTGTTTTCTTTATTGAGTATAATGTATGTAAAATTGGTTTATAGAGTATAATAATCGCATTTTAATGGAAAAAAAATGTGTTTAAAATAATTATAATGTACGTATATAATTAATAGCAAATTTTTTACTTTATTATATTGGAAGAAAAAATCTGTAACAAATTGAGGGCAACAGTGATAATTTTAAATTTTTTTTAGATTCATTTCAAGGAATAATGTTTATCAAGGGCGATATTATAATTTTTCTTGTGTTTTCAGAGCTCGTTTTTATTATTACGGGATTACAGGATTCGTATATTTTTATTCTTTAAAATTGGCATCTTATATTAATTATCATAAATATAAAAAATATGTAAAACGTGCTCGAAACTACAAAATTTTAATTTATGTTTCTATACGTTTATTGTACTCTTTATTATACCTAATGTTAAATATAAAAATTTTCCGCAAAATAATATAGAAGACAGTCAATATTAAAATAAAATAAGCAAGAAAGTCCTCATATATTCAAATATAATTTTTTATTTCTAATTTATTACTATAAATAATGTGTGAATTTAAAAATCAAATTCAAAAATTTATTTACAAATTATTGAATTTATTCTCTATTTAATAAAATCTTTCATAAAAAATATATTTTAAAATTTCTTCTTATCTTATTTGATTTAAAATCTGAAATTGTATGAAATTTTAATAATTGAATTGTTTGAAAACTATTGTGAATGAAATGAAAAATATTATCGGTTGTTGAAGTTTGTTAAAATTAAATTATGGAAAACAAAACTAAAATTCTGTTTAGTATTCACTAAAATTATAAAAAAAATATATAAATTATAAAAAGTTATTCATAAAAGAAAAAAAAAATCATAATTACATAAAATTATATCATTTAAAAATCCCTTATATTATATTGAAATTTTTGTATGAAGAAGAAACATAAAAAAATTAAAAAAAAAAAAATTGTTTAAAGTCTAGTTTTAAATAAAATTAAAATTATAGAAAAAAAAAATTGGAAAATTCATTTCATATCAATATTGTCTTAGGTATTTTATGTATGCTTAATACATCGAGGAGGTGGCGCTGAATCTATGGTTGGAATAAATATGAAACAGCACATTGTTTAAGGAATTAAAAATATTGTTATTTAATTGATATTTTCTGAAATTTCTGGGTCCATTTTGTTTTACGTAAAAGAATATTTTTTACGTTTCTAACTGGAATGGAGTTGTCATAGAATATTGTATTCAAATCAGTTGGTATTAGGAAAATACAAAGTCATATGAAACGAATTATAATGAGTATATTCAAGGCTTACAGGAATAAGAAATTATCATTATAAAATAATAATGCAAGGTGGTCTTGAAATGATGTTTTCAGAGATTTTTAAAATTTTTTAAAATTTTTTATCTATAGGAATTTTTTATCGATGGTTTAAGAGTAGTTTCATAGAGTTAAAGAAAATCAGTTTTGAAGAAATTGTGTTTGTTGAAGATAGAACAATATGATTTTCGCAACATTTTATCGCGACTAATTGATCCAAATAATGGTAATGTATAGTGGTTAATATTAGATTTACTGTTTTTGTGTAATAGCTGCTTATATATGAGATAAATTACTAATACAATCAATATTATAATTTAATGCAGCACCAAGAAAGCATTTAATATGTGAATATTTTATTTTTGCTTGTACATACCCATCTATCCTGTTTTGAACTAATCCATGTTGAACACAGAATTTAATTTCCCTATGTATGTTACATTATCTGTCATGCACTTCAAGTTATAGAAATGTGTGAATCTCAGCGTTTGACATTATTTTTTACAATGATAAACAAGAGTAACTTGTTCTATAGTAGTATATGGGTATAAATAAATGTATGTATTACTTAATATGTAAGATATTTTTGAATAAATCCTAATGAGAACAAATTGCAATAAGTTTTTTTAAATGAAATCATTTTGTAATTTAAATTTCTCTTGATTATTTTAAAAAAATGATATTCTTTCTTCTTTATTCCTATTTAATTATATATAATGCATAATATGAATTTAATTGTATTTATAAGGAAGTTTTCATCGCTAATATTTCCATTCATTCATGTGTAATCTTTGGCAACATATAATATTTACATTGCAATCTTATTGAATACTTAGTACTCGTAAAATGTATAATTTATAGAAAATGAGAGCTTTATTAACTAAACTCATTTATGGTTATAATTATATCAAGATCTTCTGCTACATTCTTACCATTTTCTCATAGTACAGATTACATAGTAAATAGAATAGTTACTCGTAATATGAAAAATAAGAATTATATTAAAATAATATTATATTAAACCTTTGTAGATTTGTAGATTTTTACAACGGGGGCAACAGTGCACCGCGACCACGTATAAGGATATCCGTGTGCAGGGCATGCTCTACAACACACGCTAGAGACCCACCCTCCTGATGAGCTTAAGCAACTTGTGAGAACCAGAAGACCGTAACTCCGCCACCGTTACAGCAAAGCCCCCTTATATATTAAACCTTAATATCTTAACTAAATTTAATCAATAAATCTTCATCACTGCTCCATGTAGTGAATTTTTTTAAATAAAACTTGAAAGTTTATATTGAAATGTGCCTGAATTTTAAACCATATAATTTTCATTCACTTAATAGAATTCAAAAATATTTCAATTTAAATAATAATATGCAAAATGTAAATAATATTATAGAAAATATATTTTGTTAAATTAATATTAGCACGTTTATTAAAAATTGTAATTAGTTTTTTTTTTTGTTGTTCTTGTTGAATTTTTTAACTGAAATTAATTTAGTATGTTAAATAATTAATAATTATTGTATACAACATAATTATTTATTTTTTATTGACTACAAATTCAATTAAAATTTAATCAAAATTCATTTGATAATATTGTGTTTTTATTTATTACTTATTATAAAAATTTTTATAATTTTTATTTATTTAGGGAATTTCTTTTATTATTTCATATATTTTATGATTTATTTAGTATATTTTCAATGTTTTAATTTGTTGTACTTATCCACAAAAAGAAAAATTGAAAATAAATGAAAAAATTCTAAAAAAATAATAAAATTAATTAGTATTACTCTAGAGTGTAGTAGGTTGAGTTAACGCAACCGCTCCCGAAGGGTAAACATAGCCGACTTAGTCTAGTTGTGATACAATCGGATCTCTCTATTTACGTTACTCATTCGAACCAGCTCGAACTGCTCAAAAATCGGGTAAGCTCTTTAATGTTTAAGAAACGAGACCAAAGAAGTCTCTGCCTGGAGCCCATATGCTCGCCAATCTTGCTTATTCGCTGATCTGACAATGGCCCGTCAGAACCACTATTACTGTACCGATATCCTCCTGTCGAAAAGATGTCAGATCCCCTATTCGAAGTAAGTCCTAGCTTTACATAGTTTTCTTACCGCGTTGGCGTTGTTCCATTTACACGTATGAGGTGGATGGGCTTCACTGTTACTTTGCAGCATACTATTGATTCTTAAAGGCAATATCCATAATGGTGATTATTTATTAAGTGGTAATCTAGTTACATGGAATTATAATAAGTTTTTGTACTGTAGCTAAATGGCAGAATGTGTCTCCTTTAAATGCAACTAGCTATTGTAACAAAATAATTATAAGTGAATATCAAAGTGAAATTCCTAAGTGCGATATCTTCAATATTAATATCACAATATTTGGAATTTACA